GAAGCCGCTGGAAGAGGCAAAGGATTCTCTTCTTAGCCTGTGGAGGGAGCACGGCCCTGCCAGACTTCTGGCCTCCAGAACTTGGAGGGAATACATCTCTGTTGTTTTAATCCACCAGGGTGGTGGTAATGTGTGGTGGCAGCCACAGGACACTGACACATCCGTTATGGAAAGTGAGTTGTGACCAGGAAGAAGGGCGAGAGTCCTACTCTCAGAGGAGCTCCGACCTAGCTTTGTCTCATTTCAAGGAACACATTGAAGCCACTCGTGGAATGTTCTATTTGCCCAGTGAGAATCTTCAAGGGTGCAGTTCTTTCCATTAAGAAGCTCAAGCTCATGAAGGAGACAGACCAGATTAAGTGTAGCAGCAGGCATTAAAAGAGACGGCAGCCAGCCAGGAAAGGCTTTTCACAGGTAGGGATATTTGAGCTGGGCTTTGAGGGATGAGCAGGAGTTTGCTAAGTGGAGCACAAGGGCAAGTTGGAGATGGGGAGTAAGGTGAGGGCTCCAGTATGGTGGGGGAAGAGGATGGTGTAACGTGGCTGTCATGGCTGGAATATAATCTTTGCGACAACATGGGGGTTGTCTTCCCCCACTGTCCCTAGAATAGTTGCCTGATATTCGGTAGACTCTAAATAAATATCTATTGAATGAGGGGGAAAAGACACATAATCTCATTTGATACATGAAAACAAAGCATTTGACAAAGTCCAACACCTTTTCATGGTAAAAACACTCAACAAACTAGGAATACAGGGAACTTCATACAGGCCTGCAGCTGCCATCATACTTACTGGTGAACGACTGAAATTTTTTCCCCCTAAGGTCAGGAACAAGAGAAGGATGTCTGCTCTTGCCAATTCTGTCTGACATTGTACTTACTGGAGGTTCTAGTTAGGGTAATTGGGCAAGAAAGACATATAATTTGAAAAAAAAGAAGTAAAACTATCTCTATTTGCAGATTACATGATCTTATGTGTAGAAAACCCCAAGGAATACACACACAACACACACAAACTATTAAAGCTAATAAGTGAGTTCAGGAATGTTGCAGGATGCAAGATCAATATATAAAAAATAAGCTTTCTGGCTGGGCGTGGTGGCTCATGCCTGTAATCCTATCACTCTGGGAGGCCGAGGCGGGTGGCTCGCTCAAGATCAGGAGTTCAAAACCAGCCTGAGCAAGAGCGAGACCCTGTGTCTACTATAAATAGAAAGAAATTAAGTGGCCAACTAATATATATAGAAAAGATTAGCCGGGCATGGCGGCGCATGCCTGTAGTCCCAGCCACTTGGGAGGCTGGGGCAGGAGGATCGCTTGAGCCCAGGAGTTTGAGGTTGCTGTGAGCTGGGCTGATGCCACGGCTCTCACTCTAGCCTAGGCAACAAAGTGAGACTCTGTCTCAAAATAAATAGGTAAATAAAAATAAAAGTAAGCTTTCTAACTATATACTAGCAATGAAAAATCCAAATATGAAATTAAGAAGATAATTCCATTTACAATAGGATCAAAAATAATGTAATATTAAGGAACAAAGAAGTACTAGATTTGTACACTGAAAACTACACAATATTGCTGCAATTAAATAAGACCTGAATAAATGGAGACAGCCTGTGTTCGTGGATTGGAAGACTTAATATTGCAATGAGGATATCAGTACTCTCTAGATGGATACGCAGATTTAATGCAAGCCCTATCAAAATTCCAATTGTGTTTTTTTGTTTGTTTTTTTTTTTTACAGAAATGGATAAGCTTATCTTAAAATTCACACGGGAATGAACACAAGGAACCCAGCATAGCCACAACAACCTTGAAAAAGAAGAACAAAGCTGGAGGAAGCACACTCCCCGATTTCAAAACTTACTACAAAGTTACAGAAATCCAGGCAGTGTGGTGCTGGCCGAGGGATAAACATAGAACAGTGGCGTAGAACTGAGAGTCCGGAAAGAAACCTTCACGTCCATCGTCAATTGATATTCCACAAAGGTGTCAAGACAATGCCACGGGGAAAGGAATAGTCTTTTCAACAAATGGTGCTGGGACAACTGGAAACCCAGGTGCAAAGAGTGGACTTGGACCCACCTCACGCCATACACAAAAAATAACTGAAAGTGGATCAAACACCTAAATGTGATAACACAAATTAAACTCTTCAGAGAAAACAGGTGAAAACCTCAGTGACCTCAGACTAAATATGATACAAAAAGTACAAGAAACCAAAGAGAAAAATGGATAAATTGGACTTCATCATAGTTAAAAAGGTTTGTACATCCAAGGACACTATTAAGAAAATAATAGGCAACCCATCAAATGGGGGAAAACATTTGCAAATCATGTATCTGCTAAGGGTCTAGTATCCAGAGTATGTAAGGAACTCTTAACAGTTTAACACAAAAAGGCAAACATCCCAATTAAAAAATGCAGAAAGATTGGTATAGATATTTACCCAAAGGAAATACACAAATGGCCAGTAAGCACATGGAATGATGCTCAACCTCTCTGCTCATCAGGGAAATGCAGATCAAAGCCACAAGGAGTTACCAGCTTATGCTCACCAGGGTGCTTAAAATAAAAAAGTCAGATAATAACAAATGTTGGTGAGGGTGTGGAGAAACTGGAACCTGCATGCATTGCTGGTGGGAATGTAAAATGGTGCAGCCACTATGGAAAGCAGTTTGGCAGTGCTTCAAAAAGTGAAACACAAGAGTTATCACATGACCCACTGATTGCATTCCTGGGTATATACCCAAAAGAAATGAAAATGTATGCTTAAACAAAAACTTGTACACAAATGTTCATAGCAGCACTTTTCATAGCAGCCCAAAAGTCAGAACAACTCAAATGTCCATCAACAGAGGAATGGATAAACAAAAATGGGGGGCCGGGCGCGGTGGCTCACGCCTGTAATCCTAGCACTCTGGGAGGCTGAGGCGGATGGATTGCTTGAGGTCAGGAGTTTGAAACCAGCATGAGCAATAGTGAGACCCTGTCTCTGCTAAATACAGAAAGAAATTAATTGACCAACTAAATATACATACAAAAAATTAGCTGGGCATGGTGGCGCATGCCTGTAGTTCCAGCTACTCGGGAGGCTGAGGCAGGAGGATCGCTTGAGCCCAGGAAATTGAGGTTGCTGTGAGCTAGGCTGATGCCACGGCACTCAATCTAACCTGGGCAACAAAGTGAGACTCTGTCTCTAAAAAAAAATAAATAAATAAAATAAATAAATAAATGGGGTATATTCATATGATGGAATAATGAAGTTAGGTGCTACAGTATGGATGAACCTTGAAAATGTTATGGTGAATCAAAGAAGCCAGACACAAAAGGTCACACAGTGTATCATTCCATTTACATTCTATTTACATGAAATGTACTGGATAGGAAATCCACGTCAATTAGTGGCTGCCCTAAAGCCAGGGGGAGGGGCAATGAGGAGTCGTCACTACTACTGGGTATGGAGTTTCATTTTGGGGTGATGAAAATGTTCTAGAATTAGGTAGTGATGATAGTTGCACAACTCCACAAATATACTAAAGCCACAGAATTGTATACTTTAAATGGGTGAGTTTTGTGCTAAATGAATTATATCTCAGTTAGAAAAATAGGGGAAAAAATTGCAATGGTGCCCAGGACTTAATGTGAAAGAGTGGGCATCATAGGTAAAATGTAACAATATGGAAGTAGAATAGCTCAGAACATTCCTAGAAGGGACTGGGCGGGCCATTGAGATCTGGAGTCTTGCCCCAAGGAAATAGAGACCTAGTCAAACAGCCAATAATAGGGGTGGAGCCAAAATTAGTCCCCAGGTGTGCCTGCCACAGGTATCCCTCCTCTTGTCACTTTTAACCCTAGCTATGGTGGCTACCGAGTGCTTGGAATGTGGCTAGTCCGAATTAAAATGCGCTCTAAGTATAAAACACACTTGATTTTGAAGACTTAGTATGATACAAAGAATGTAAAGTATCTTATTGATACTTTTTAAATTCATTATACATTGAAATCATACTGTTCTGGATCTATTGTGTTAAATATAAAATTAATTTTGCCAGTTTCTTTTTACTTTCCAAAATGTGACTACTAAAATAATTTAAAATCACATATTTGGCTCGTGTTTATTTCTATTGGGTAGGGCTACTCTTAAGTACTGGGCCTCTTGGGGCCAGTGCACAAGGGTGGCATTAATTTATTCATGAAATAAGATTTCACTGAGCACGTTTCACCAGCGCTGGGCAAAAGCTGATCAGAGGGTAGAGGTTAAGCTGGGAAGTGGGTGTCGCCGGCGCCTTCAGTCCCAAAGCAGAGAAAGGGCTGGGTGCGTATTCCTTCCTCCCTGGGGGCAAGGTTGACGCCTTTGTCACTAGACCCAGAGATGCTGTCTGTCTTGAGCCTAATTTAAAAAACCCGCAAACCATAGCGATTAAAAGCAACGGAAAAGGGTGGGCATCTTATGTATTTTTTAAATTTTTTTGAGACCAGGTCTCGCCTTGTCTCCTGGGCTATGTATTTTTTTTTTGACGAGCTTTAATTACGTCGGCAGAACTCCATAAAAGATAGCACCTTGGGAAGGTTATTCATCGAATCCAAAATCAGACCCCAAGCATGGGCTGGGGGTGGGGTCGCAGGAGGGTCAAAAATTGCAACCTAAACTCCAGGGGGCAGAAACTTTGCCAAGTTCATTCTTGCAATCCTCAGAGCCCAGAACGGGACCTGGCGCGTAGTAGGTGCTCCCCTGCGATATCTGAGTGGGCGAGGATGCAAAATTATGTGCAGCTTTTGTCCGTCTCCAAGGAGTCCCAGGCTCCCAAACGGTTAAAAGCCACTCACTGCCGGCGGAGACGTGAAATTTATTTGAAATCAATGCCGAGCATTGGTTATGCTAATTCTGGGGCATGGCCAGACCTGGACATCTGGAATGATCTACGCGCTTAAAAACGCCACTCGCCACCATCTTCTCCAGGTAATTTTCCACCCCGCGCGCGGTCGGCGCTGGAAAAGTACTCCCCGCCGGGCGCGCTCGGGCGCGGCGGCGCGGCGGGCCGCGCGCCGGACCCAGCCCCCAAACTTTGGCAAGTGCGGGCGCCGGCGCTCCCGAGGCGCGGGGCGCGGCCGCGGCGGAGCCGCCCCCTGACGCCGCCGCCCTCCCGCCGGCGCCCGCGGCCGGGCGCAAAGTTTGCGGCCGCCCCTGCGCCGCGCCCGCCCGATGCATGGGCGCCAGGCTGCGGCGGCGCCGGTGACGGACGGCCATATTTGCCGGCGCGGCCCGAGCCGCCGACAACAAAAAGTGCGCGGCGCTCGGCGGCGCTCGGCCGCCGGCGGACGCGGGGCGCCGCGCGCGCCGCGCTCGCCGCGCCGCCGCGCCCTCGCGCTGGCCGCTGCGCCCGGCGCGCCCGCCGCCCGGGGGGATGTCGTACAAGCCGAACTTGGCCGCGCACATGCCCGCCGCCGCCCTCAACGCCGGTGAGTGGGCGCGCCGCGCCAAGTGCGCCAAGTTGGGGCCGCGCGGCGCCGCCCGCCGGGCCCGGGCTCCCGGGCGGCCGGCGCGACGCCGCAGCGGCGCCGGTCCGGGTCCGGTCCGGTCCGGGTCGGGGTCCGGTCGGGCCGGTCCGGGTGCCCGCCGCCATGATCCCGCGCCGCCAAAGTTCGCGGCGCCTGGCGGGGCGGGCCGGGGCGCGGGCGCGCCGCGGGCCCCCACACCGGCGGCCGCGGACCGCGGGGAACGCGGCGGGCGAGGGCGAGGGCGGGGGAGGCTTGTTCCCGGCTCTTTTCTCCTCCGGCTTTTGGGTGGCTCGGCGAGGGCCCCTGCCGGCGGAGTCGGAGCGCCCCGGGCCGCGCCGGGTGCCGGGTGCCGGGCGCGGCGCGGGGTGCGGGGCCCGGCCGCCTTGGGGAGCCGGGTCGGGCCGGGCTGGGTGCACGTGGGCAGGGCCGGGCCCGCGCGGGCAGGGCTGGGGCGGGGTGTCCGGCTGCAGCGGGCCCTGAGGGCGCGGGGCCGCGGGGACGGGGACGGGGCGGCCGGCAGGCAGGGGGACTCGTGCCCTGGGGTCTGGGCCTGGCGCGCGGGAGCAGGGCTTGCCTCATGCAGGCGCGCGGGGGTCCCCTCAGGCTTGCTCGGAGTGAAAGAAGTTGGTGACCGGGGGCTTCTGGGCCGGAGGGGTGGGGGTGTAGGGGCGGCAGCTCCCCCCCATGCGGGAGCCCCAAGTCTGGGCCTCGAGGGCCCCTGCTGCAGAAGCCGGGAGGGGGACCCTCTCCCTGGCTGGGCTGGGGCTGGGCGCTCCCAGGAAACTCCTGCAGAAGTTGTCAGGCAGCTTCAGGCTGCGCCCAGGGACCTGCCCCCGGGACCAGGGGGACGTAGGGTTGTGGGATTCGCAGGTGACCGGCTTTGTCCCCTCACGGGGCCCCTGTTCCTTAGACACCTGGTCGGAACAGACTTCCCGAAAGGCGCGTTGGGTGGGGGTGCCTAGGGAGCAGGAGGCCTCAGGGGGGAGGGGACTGGCCCTGCTGGTCACACATGCCACGCTGGCTGTTAGGCTCAAGTTTTGGGCCTTGTCTCCAAACGTTGACTCCCAAATTTCAAAATTCCGAAGAGGGACCTGGAAAAGCGAGATTTAAAAACATCTTTTTGGACACGGAGGTGTAGGGGTCGGAAAGGGTTAAGAGTCGGGGCGCGGAGGGAGAGTTGAATTGCTCAAACGTGGGCTCTGAGCTCCGAGGAGCAAACAGCCACTGTTTTCTCCTCACACTGTCACCTCCTCTGGGGTCCGCAGACCTTACAAAGACGGGCTTTGTTGCCAGGTAGGATCTCTCCAGGCTTCCTCCCCGAGTCTGGGTGCTGGGGGGTGCGCTGCCCCCTGGACAAGGCCTCATCTCAGGCCCGCCCTGGAGTCACCGGGGCGCAGGCCCTAGACTGAGACCTTTGGGGTTTGGGGTCACAGGGACGAGGCGCCCCCCTGGGGCCCCTTAAGCCGTGTTCTGGGCCGGCCAGCACCTGCACCCAGGTCTCCTATCTCCTGGGGGGAGTTCCAGGAGTGCTGAGCTTCCCAGAGCTCCGGCGTCTTGGTGGGGGGCCGCCCGCCCCCATGGGCCCCTCTGCAGAAAGCCGGGCTCTCTTCCTGCCATTTGCATCCAAGATGGACTCTTCCGCTGCCTGCCGCTCCTCCGGCTTCCTTGTCATCATCCCTCACGCCCTCCAGCCCTGCCTCCTGCTCGCGGGTTGCCAAGCCAACCCGCGGCCTGGCCGGCGGTGGCAGTGGCGGAGTTAGACAAAGCCCCCGCCCCCCTGCCCGAGAGCCCCCCCAGGCGCCCCAAGTGGCGGGAAGGCCGCCAGCTCCCCAGGCCCTGGCGCTCTTTGTCTGGCGTGGGGGCGGGGAGTGCGCCTGGCCCCAGGAGCTTCCTGGCCTCTGCCAACCCCTCCGGCTCCCTGCACACTGCGCTCATTGTCTCAGATGCTCCCAGACGGCTGTGCTGACGTGGTCCCTGTGTCCCGTCCCTGTGTCTGCAGCAAGGAGTGGCCATGAGTGGAACTCAGGGCCCTTTTGCCAACTCTCCCCAGGGCCAGAACCCCCCGGCGCTGAATAAGGGACCGGCCTCGGCACAGAGTCGGGGTCCCCTGCTACTCTACGAGGTGATGGGAGAGTTGAGCTCTGAGCTACTGCTCGACTCTTCCCCAGCCAAATGGGGCGATTCCCTGTTCCTTCTCCCTTTCTCTTAGCCCCCCAAAACCTAACCTCGGTACCATCAAACAGCAGGCTCTAGAGCCTCAGACCTCTAATGAGAAGCACTGCCTGTAACAGATGGAGAAACTGAGGCCCCAAGAGGGAAGGGCCTCGTCTCAGGCCCCATGGCCTGGACTGGCTCCTAGCCCGGGAGGGGAGATAGGGGAGGGGGCTGAGGGTGGACAGAGGACGCGTGGGAAGTGGCCAGTGTGCTGGAATCTTCTAAATGTCCTGAAGGGCTGGGTCTTCCCAAGCCCAGAGAGCTGTCACTTGTCACTGCTTGTAGCTGTCAGTACTGGAACCCAGGTCTGGGCCTGCAAATCCCCAGCCACCCGGGCCACGCCCACTGCCACATCGCCCACTGCCACATCGGAACACCTGCCGGAACTGGGGTGGGGGGGCGCCCTGTGCCATTCGTGCGCGACTGGCCGCTCCACGGCCGCGGTGGTTGTGGACGGTGGGCCTGCTTGTAGTTTGTCCCCATCCTGAGCAGCATGTCCCCGTGGCACAGGTGTCCCATCATCCCCACTTGGGATCGTGGAAACTGAGGTGCAGAGTGGCCCAGTGCTCTGCCTGGTCAGGATCCAAGTCCACGTTTCCTGAGCGGGCAGCTCAAGCTTCGGCACAAGCCAGGGCCCCAGGGGAGTCCAGGGCAGGCCCGGGACCTAGGAGACATCTCGGGTGCTGTCCCAGCGCCTGGACGAGAGTCGGTGTTGGGGTAGCCAGCCCTCTGCAGTAGCCTCTTGTGTGCCACGTGGCCTGGGGTCAGGCCCCCTTGGGTCTGCGTGTCTGTGTGTGGGGGGGCGTCTGGCTGGCTCCCGGCTTCTCCAGGGCCCCTCCCGCCTCCATCTGCCCGAGCTCCTGAACTTCCTTCCTCCCCTGCCCCTCCCCTCGCCCACACCACACGAGCAGCTGGTTGGTTTGGCCAGACTGGCACCAGCTGTCCATCCCCGGGGCCAAGTCTGTGGAGCCCGCTGTGTGCGAGAGACCGTGTGGCTCTGGGGGCGGCAGGCGGGCAGCTGCTGAGGAGGACTAGGTAAATTCTCCATGGTTACCGCTGTTTGTAATTCTGCAGGATGTCCTTTACCCGCTAATGGCCACTGGGACGCCATTGTGGGTCTGCATGCTCCCAGCCACCGCTCCTCACCCGCGTCCAGCAGGCCGCGTCCTGGGCTGGGCCCTGGGCCCGGCTCGGTCTCTGGCTGCTGGCGCTGGACAGCGTCCCTGAACGTTGCCCCCACACGTGGGGCCGTAACCCTCCTCTCTTGGGGTGCGGAGCCCTGGGAGTGTAGACCCTCCCCTCCTTGGAGGGGGTGACAGAGCTTCAGGGGTGTGTCTGAGGGCGCACAGAGAGGCTGAGTGGTCCAGGTTGCTGGTTTTGTGTGCAGCGCACCTGCAGCCAGGGCTGGGGCCCCGTCCTCGAAGGCCTTCCCCGTCTTCCTCCCAGTGATGAGTCCAGCAGCGAGCTGGGCACCTAGGAGCAAACAGGCTTCCGTGTGTTCGGAATCTCGGTCCAGGTGTGGAGCAGCCTTGGGAGGGGGTGGGCGCTTGTGGCGGCGATGTGGCTCTAGGTTATCAGCGTCTGGGGAGCGGGACACGGAGAGGGGACAGGCAGGGATTAGGCCGAAAACAGCAGTGGCTTTCATCTTTCGTGCCAGTCCCTCCTGCCTGGAAGGCTCTGATGGCCGGGACGGAGTTGTGTGATTGATTTCCTGTGTCTGCCGCAGAGGTGGGGCGGGCGGGTGCGTTCTAGCCACGTATTTGCTGCCAGTCCTCTCGGCGGGCATCAGGGCCATGGCCAGCCAAACTGGAGGTCAATAGCAAAGTTGTTTGTCCTGTGGGGACAGAAGACCACGGTTGGTGGCATGGGTCTTGGGCAGGGCACCATTGCAGGACCCAGTGTCCTCACCTTGGGCACAGCCAGCCCAGGCTGTGACACTCCTGACCCCTCTTTCCTACCCTGCAGCTGGGAGCGTCCACTCGCCTTCCACCAGCATGGCGACCTCCTCACAGTACCGCCAGCTGCTGAGTGACTACGGGCCACCGTCCCTAGGCTACACCCAGGTATGGCACAGTGGGGGCTGGGGGCCTGGGCACCGGGGGGGGAGATGTGCTCCCCACCGTCCCGGATGGGAGTCGGTGGAAAACAGGAGCAGAAAGGACTGCAGGGCTGTCACCTGCACTTCCTTGGCCCAGGGCCTGGGCTTGGCACCTGTTCAGACAGGACACATCACAGGAGGGCCACAAGCACTGGGCTTCACGGGGATGTTGAGGCGGGCAGGGAAGGGGGGTGCAGGGTATGGGTGGCAGCCCTGAGAGCTGCTGCGGCCACCACCCCACCTGTCTCTGCACTGGGCCCCCTCACTCCTCTTTCCTGGGCAAGCGAGGCCTGCACTTGGCCTTGGATCTGTAAACTGGGACGGAGGAGGGGGCCGTCCCACTTGTTCCCCATGAGGCGTGAGCCCAGGGAAAGGAGGATGGCCTGTGTCTTAAAGGGGTCAAGATGTGTGAGGCTGTGTACCAGCTTCCGCCACTTTCCAGACTGTGACCCCCATGTGGCAGCCCCCCAGGGCTCAGTCTCATCAGTCCCACCTGGATCCTAGTACCTGCCTCAGCGGCTGGTGAACAGCAGGAATGGGGCAAGCCACCACTTCAGCCACATGCCGAATCTGCCAGGGACACGCCGCCCCTGGCCAGGCCCCAGTCCTCTGAGCCGGCGTCCTTGTCAGCCAGAAGGTTCTCCCTGGGCCAGGCCCAGCGCGAGTGTTCCACGGTGGCCTCGAGTGTTCCGAGGTCACCATGGAGGCTGCTCCTCCTGGGGGTGGCCGCCAGCCGCAGTGCCCAGCCCCCCTGGCCATGGCGCGCCAGGCCGTCCTGTCGCAGGAGGAGAAGCAGGCGCGGACCCGGGAACGGGACCGGCTGAAGAAGCGGCGGCGCCGGGGGGACGGGCTGAAGCGCAGCCTGGAGCGGCAGCGCAACGCCGTGGCCATGCGGCGGCGGCGCCAGGAGAGGAGGGAGGACCGCCAGGCCCGGAGGAGGCGGCGGCGCCAGGGGGCTGAGCAGCAGGACCGGGACCAGGACGGGAGGCCGGAGCACGAGGCCAGGGGACAGAGGGGGCAGAGGAGGAGGAGGGGGGAGCTGGCGGCCTCGCTGACCCGGGGCTCTGGGTGGTGGTCGAGGAAGAGGTTTCCTGTGGGGTGGGGCTGCTGGTGGGAGGACAAGTGAATGGGAGCGTCCCGGCAGCGTCCTGGTGGCCTCGGGTGTGGCCTCCATCGCCCGGCTGTACCTGCTTAGCCATCCGGTCCTGGGAAAGCCTGTGAACTTGTTTTTGTTGAGATAAGCCAGCTCTTCTGTCTTTTTGGTTTGAGACGGTAAACTGGCTGTGGGTGGCTTCCTTGAGCGTGCGAGGACGGCAGGGTGAGGACCAGCCTCCCGGACCTGCCCTTGTCCCCCAGCGTGGGACGCACCCGGGGCCGCCTGCCCTCCAGCGGTCCGCCCGGGGCTCAGGCTGGAGTTCGGCCCATCTGAAGTCGTTTCTTTCTGACTCCAGGGAACCGGGAGCAGCCAGGTGCCCCAGAGCAAGTACGCGGAGCTGCTGGCCATCATCGAGGAGCTGGGGAAAGAGATCAGACCCACCTATGCGGGGAGCAAGAGCGCCATGGAGAGGCTGAAACGCGGTAAGCCGCCGGCCAGGTGACCCCACGGCCTGGGGAAAACGTTGGACCCCACGGCCAGGGGTAGGGAGGCATTGGCACTCCTGGCTCCTGTTTTGTTCCAGAATCGCAGTCTGATGTGGCGGCCTGGGGAAGAGCCCTGGGGCTGGTTCTGTCTGATTGGGCTTTCAGGCAGGGGATCCCCCGCCCGTGAGCCCCCTCACTCGCGCGCTGCCGCCGGTCTGCTGGCTCCCGAGGGAACCTTCGCAGCCCCCAGACCCTGCGGCTCTGTCCCCAGACGCCTGCTGCACTCCTGTCGGCCGCAGCAGGGAGCCAGACACGGCAGCTTCCTCCTCTGGGCAGCCGTGACCACAGAGGTTGATCACGACCCAGGGTTTAGGGTTCGGAGGTCCCTGCGCTGCCCTCCGCTGTCCCCCCTTTGGAGCGGGGCCCAAGGAAGCGTGTGTTCTGCGCTAGCATTGGCGGGGAGAGGGGAGAGCACTCTGGGGCTCTTTGATGATTGAAGAGGGCGGGCGGGCAGACATCACGGCGAGGTGTGACTGACCAGCTGATTCTGGAAGGACGTTGACTAGGTTGCTACGACTCCGAGTGAAAGGGGCGGAAGGGAGAGGATTTCTGTTTTAGAAGGTGGCAGTTCGGAGCTGTGGCCCGTGAGCTCATTTGAGATGAGGAAGGATTTGGGGGCTGGAGGAGCAACTTTGGGGGGGAAAGAGGAAGCGTGTGGCCCCAGTGGGGGCTGCTGTTGAGGGCGTGAACCCCCAGGGGCGCCTGGGCCAGCGGAGGACAGGCTGCTACCGGGAGCAGGGACGTTCCTGGCTGGTGTTCGTGAAACCATTGTGAAGAGGGTGACTGATGGCAAGGCTAGACGGGGTAGAAGCAGGGCAGCTTGGAGGAAGGGGACTGGCCGGGTGAGAGGTGTGGCTGAAGAGGGCTTGGGGACGGGGCGTGGAGTCCGACGGGCATCGCTCTGCTCCCAGGGCCACTGCTTGGAGGTCTCAGGAGGGGGCCATTCTGGGAACCGGAGTGCTGGGAGAACGCTGGACCCCAGGGTCTACCAAGCAATTTGTAGTCACCCAAAAAAAGCAGTGGTTTAAGTCAAGTGGATCCGAGCTGCTGGTTCCTGTGTCAGGGAAGACCTAGTGCCACCCTCTGGCCAGCCAGGCTCAAGCTAACCAAACTTAGGTCACAGCAGGCTGAGACAGGTCACAGACAGGGTGGGGCTCAGGAGCACTGTTGGCAATCGATAGTCCGTGAACCAAGAATGATTTTTACAGTTTTTAATGGTTGAAAAAAAAAATACGAGTTGGGACACATGAAAATTAGTGAGATTCAAACTTCAACGGTCATAAATAAAGATTTGTTGGAACATGGCCACACCCATGGTTTACAGATTGGCTGCTTTCATGATACTTGATGGTCACATTGAGTAGTTGTGACAGAGACTGGCCTGAAAAGCTTAAAATGTTTGCTGTCTGGCCCTTTCCGAGGCTTTGAGAGAATACTCGTGAGGTGTGGACACCTAAGTTTTAGCTGCTGATGTGGGGATGTCATTCACAGTGGCCTCTGGGAGTCGTGTACTAGAAGGAATAGAATTCTTGGTGTCTATTAAAATGGGATCAGGCTGGGTGCGGTAGCTCACGCCTGTGATCCCAGCACTTCGGGAGGCCGAGGCAGGAGGATCCTTTGAGGCTAGGAATTTGAGACCAGGCTGGGCAACATAGACCCTATCTCAATCAATCAATCAATCAAAAAATTAGACCAATATTTCATGGAGCTCAGTAGAAGCAAAAATAAAAAGGAGGAAAAAAGCTAACCATAAAAGATTCTTAGGGCAGAAGGTGGCTGAAATATCCTCATCCTGAGGGAAGGATGTCACTCACAGTAAGTAGACGCAGGGTTGAACACACACGAGCCTCATCCTCTTGTACCCTCACATGTGCAGGCTGGAAGTATTCTCTTCCTGCTTGAGAGCAGGCAAGCCCTTTCCAGAACTTAGATTGTCGTGTAGCCAGAGGAAAATCTTCACAGTCGGTCAGACTTAAAGAACTTGGATGGAGGACTAGACGCGGTGGCTCACGCCTGTAATCCTAGCACTCTGGGAGGGACACCAAAGGCGGGCGAGGGGCAGCAAAGGAGTTCAAGACCAGCCCGAGTGAGACATCTCTACTAAAATAGAAAGAAATTAATTGGCCAACTAATATTCATAACGGTGTGCAGCGGGTGCGTGCATATGTGTGTGTGTGTGTGTGTGTATATATATATATGTATATCATGTATTAGCCAGGCATGGTGGCGCATGCTTGTAGTCCCAGCTACTCGGGAGGCTGAGGCAGGAGGATCACTTGAGCCCAGGAGTTAGAGGTTGCTGTGAGCTAGGCTGACGCTATGGCACTCTAGCCCGGGCAAGAGTGGACTCTGTCTAAAAAAAAGAAAGAAAAAAAAGAACTTGGATGGAAACACATTTATTCCCATCATCTGACAGAATGTCATGAAAAGAGAGCTTGCTGGTCCCACCTTGAGTGCAGGAAGAAAGTTTTAGAGAGATGTGAAGGGTTTTGGTTAGGAGTGAAGGGCTTTGAGAGGTGGGATGGGATTTATTTGTGTCCTTTAGGGTCATTTGGATGCAGGTGCCCTGAGTTCCCTTCCAGTCTGAGGGCTCATGGCCAGGGTGTGGAAGGAGGGACCCTCTTCCTGTTCCGGAATGGCTTCTTCTTGCTGGGCGGAGAGAAGTGGGTGAATCGTGGCCTCTGCTTCTCTTTCAGGCATTATTCACGCTAGAGGACTGGTTCGGGAGTGCTTGGCCGAGACGGAACGGAATGCCAGATCCTAGCCACCCGGTTGGTTTTGAAGGCTTTCCATCTTTTTACAAGATGAGAAGTGACAGTCCATCTCCCCTGTTCAGACGAAACTCTTGTTTTCCAAATGGTAGCAGTTTGGTTTTTCCTCCCACGGTTCACCTGACTCTGAACCTGCAGCCTCAAAGATTGAGAAAAGATTTTGCGGTTAATTAGGATTTGCATTTTAAGTAGTTAGGAATTACCCTCTTTTTTTTTTTTTTTTTTGGTAAGCATTGATTTAAAAGATGCACGTGAAGTTATCGTACAGCAAACTAGTTTGCCCCCAAGACACCTGGGTCTCCCTTTAATCTTCTCTTCTGAGAACATTTCTGTTACCCACGTTGTTCTGTGTTCCTTTTCATAAGCTAATACAGCTCTCGGGATCGTTTTTAACACACACTGGCAGCACGCCTTCCTCAGTAGCTGGTCCGTTTGCCACACAGTGTAGAATCTGCTTAATGTAACTTCTTTTCTGCTTAAGCATTTGCATGACTATTAGTGCTTCAAAGTCAATTTTAAAAATGCACAAGTTATAAATACAGAAGAAAGAGCAACCTACCAAACCTAACAAGGACCCCCGAAAATTTTCGTACTAAGACTGTAAGTAGATTTCAGTTCTGCGTTTACTGTAAGTTGATAAAAACATCTGGAAGAAAATGACTAAACTGTTTGCATCTTTGTATGTATTTATTACTTGATGTAATAAAGCTTATTTTCATTAACAATTTGTATTAAAATGTGGGTTCCTTGAATTCCTAAGTGCTATTTTAAAACAACTCCTCAGTAACTCAGGAGGCTGAGGCAGGAGGATCGCTTGAAGCCAGGAGTTTGAGACCAGCCTGGCCAACATAGCAAGACCCCATTTCTACAACAGAATTAAAAAATTAGCTAGGCATGGTGGTATACACCTATAGTTCCAGCTAGCTACTTGGAAGGCTGAGGTTGGAGGATCACTCGAGCCTAGGAGTTGGAGGTTGCAATGAGTGATGATTGCACCACTGTACTTCAGTCTGGGCAACAGAGTGAGACCCTGTCTCTAAAAATAAATAAAAATAAAATGGCTCCTCAATGAGAGGTAGGAGCTACTTGTGAAAGGGTGTTTTCCCACCTGGCCCAGACACATTTAGTGTGATGACATCATTAGCACAGTTGGCTGAGGAAAGAAAGTGTTTGCTAAGTCAGAGGTAGGGATAAAGTGAAGTGGCATTGTGGGTGCATTTTAAGTGCAGAAAACGGAAGTGTATGCCAGGAAAGAAAGTAAGAAAAGTAACGAGAGCAGAGTTGCTGACCTGCCCACTGCTCCCCAAGCTAGGCCATTCTTAGTTCATAGGCGCTTACCTGTGAGCATTTCCCGGGTGCTTTAGGAATCTTTTGCATAAAAATGTGGCCCCTAAACTCAAGCTAGCTCCTTCATCTGGTGCTCACTGGAAGAATTATCTGCTCTGGTGCTGGGGGAAAATTGGGTTGTGCTGGATTTGTCAAGAATCCACATGGTGGTCTCTGTCGGTGCCTTCCGGGGGGATTTTGAGTTAATTTTTACTTTCTACCTTAGGCACTAGTCCCCTGTAATGAAGACTTGCCTTGGTGAGGGTGGACTAAGACAATGAGAGGTTTATCTGTGATGCAGGCAAGAGGCAAGTTCCAGCTACAAGACAGCTGAGGCTGGCAGGAGTGGGTTCCGGGGCAGTGGGTGTCTCCGAGTCTTCTTCGTGCACATGGCGGGACACGGCAAGGGTACTGGAGAAGACAGATCGAAGCCTCTGTCCTTGTGGTCCAGAGCTCCACACTTCCCTTCCCAGTGTTACTGGTTTCTTGTGTGTCATCAAGACTTTATCTTCTCAAGGGAGGTTGGGATGGAGAAAGGTCCTGCACACTCCAACAGGAGATACAGAATGAGAGACCTACAGAGAGTGCTGAAGTTTTTCCAAAGCAGACCACGCCATGGCGACAAGAGCCTTAACTGTCAGCCTCAAAGATAGAGGTTTACCTGGGCTCATCTGGCCTGCTAAATGGACTGGCCCTCGCTGCAGAAATGAGGCAGGTCCTGCGTCGGGCGGGTCCTCTCACCTCATAGTATTTTCCCTACCTGTGTTGTATGTGAACTCCAGATGAGTTCTAACAAGCCAAGTGATTGAGCATGGCTAAGAAAAAAAAAAAAAAAAACTAATAGTAAGGTCAAATCCAGCTTGAGTGATAAAAATTTACAAATCAGGTTCTGGAAGCATCATCTCTTATAAATCTACTTGCAAATCAACATACACAGAATATGTATATTTCTACATTAGAGACTTGGCAACATACAGCCTATTAAGCTAATGGAGTAAATGGGCAAGCAACTTACTTTTAACTCTTTCACCATCTTGTTATCTCCTTTATTCTCTTAACCTGACACGAGGATAACTAACATCTGGTTGTCATTGAACAATGGCCTCCCGGAGGATGACAAAGTGCCTATTTTGCTATTAATGTTTGACTCAATTCTCCAGAAAAATGGATCCAACTGGCTGGGCATGGTAGCTCATGTCTGTAATCCCAGCACTTTGGGAGGCCAAGGCAGGAGGATCACTTGAGGCCAAGAGTTTGAGACCAACGTGGGCAATAGTGAGAGCCTGTCAGTCTCTGCAAGAAAAAAAAAATTAGCCAGGCTTGGTGGGGTGCACCTGTAGTCCCAGCTACTCAGGAGGCTGAGACGGGAGGATCACTTGAGCCCAGGAATTGGAGGCTGCAGTGAGCTATGAGGATGCCACCACACTCCAGCCTGGATGACAGAGCGAGACCCTTTATCAAAAAAAAAAAGGACTTACTAATACTAATGCTTTTTTGAAAAACTTTTTTATTTTTGACTTTTATAATAAAACAGTCACATGAGCAAACATGCAGCTGAGAATAAGGGGACAGCCTTCTGACTACTGCCAGGTGAAGAGCTAGAACTGTCAGCACCCCTAGAGCGGCATCATAAGGACAGCCCCTTTTCTCCCCCAAAGCTGCAATTGTCCTTTTATAGCAACGACTTCCTTGTGTTTCTTTACAGTTTTACTCTTGAAGTACACATTTCTATTTACTGTAGTTTAGTCCACCACTTAAAAAACCTTGATGTCTTTTAATTCTGTCAGAAGTATTCCTTTAGAAGCTGTGCAGTAACGCTGGTGATGGAGCTGACCACCGTCACTCCCCGGGAGCTCTGTCCGTCCTGCAGTTCCTGTCTCAGTGCACATTTTTACTCGATTCCCTTAGTTCTTTCAGTAGTTTCTTTTTCTCTAGGGTTTCCTTTGCTCTTTTTTTCCTTTCTTGCTTTTTCTTCTCTGCCTCTCGTTTTTCTTTGAGAACCGGACTGTTCTCACCATTGTAGAAAACGTCTACTTTCTCTTGTAGAATTTTCCGAGCTCGCTTTCTGTTTTCATCAACTGATCTTGTCTGATGGCACTGTAAGAGACAATATTTTATAATGTGAAATCCACAGGATGTTAAGAGATGGACAGGACCTCAGAAATCACTAAATTCAACCTGTTTGCTTTGCAAATAGGGACAGGCCCAGAAGATAAAGCCACCCGTCAGGAATCCCCATGAGTCAGTGACAAAGTGAAGACCAGACTCTTTCCTGCCCCTGCCCCAGGCCTCTGCCTTATTCTGCACCCTAGCTGTATTATATGGCTTTTGCTGTGACTGCTTTATAATTAGGAGTGTTACTTGTGTTTAGAAGTAACAGTAGCCTTCAAATAACTTAAAGTCCCAAAATAATTATGAAAACATCAACTGATGTATCTAGCTTGTGGCCAGGGACAACCACTTGCCGTACACCATTCCTAAACATAAAACTGTCTGAAGGAAGAAAATAGCATCTTTATTAATCAGCCATAACATTCGTTATATAATGCCTTAGTTACAGGTGAGTGCCTTCCAAAGCTGTTTGATAAAAGAGAAATTCTGAAATTAGGGTGAAGTAATACTAAAAGCAAATTTGGAATAAGTTATAAAATAGGTTAAATAAGAATTAACTGTCAGTTTTCAGAATTCTGTTATTCTGATTTTTTTTTCCAAGGAGAAAAAGAAAAGTGATCCAGGTTTTAAATGACAAACCTCCGGCTCAAAAACTTGGCAATGAAATAAGTCTATTAGGAACATGGACTTTGGGTTTGGTCTGAGTTGACTCCTATAAGTGGTAGGGCCTTGGGCAAGTTACTTTTTTTGGGGTCTTCCGATGAGGACTGGAAAATCTGCTAGACAAATTCTAAAAGAGCTGTGACACTTTGGGCAAGTTACTTAACCTTTCTGGGCCTCAGACTGCACATGTGTACCACGAAGAAAGTCATGGCCATGGGGTTGTAAGTGCTGAAGGAACTGACGCTGCTGAGAATAGCGCCGCTCACAGTCACATGATCTGTAAGTATCTGCTGTCAGTACTGCCACACAGGAAGGCCTGCCTGTGCTGCCTCTTCTCTGCTGCCCCTCGAGGCTCGTGCTGCCTCCGGGCTCTCTAGTGGTCCGCAGGAAGCAGAATGGATCTGCAGGAGCACTGACGGCTTGTCTTTCAGAGGCAGTGGGGTTACTGCCACCAAACCAGGGAGAGGTACAGAGCACTTCTTAGGGGTTCAGATTTTGTTGAAGGCTGGTGACATTCTGATCAGAGGTCTTTTTTATATAAAGAAGGAAGACTCGTCTAGCAGCTGTGCACAGCACCTTTTCTTCTGAGGCTGAAAATGGCAGGCCTTCATCAGCTCCCTGTCAGTCCCCCGTCTCCAGAAGGGGAGTATCACTGACATTTACCAAAAGGAGATGGGGACATGGAAGACGTGCCCATCCTAACGTCAATCAGCCAGGTCAACTAGGGGCTGAGCCTGCTAGCTGTGGACCCAGGCCCGCGCGCCGCCTGCTCAGGGACTTGGCCCCGCGGCAGTGCAGCGGAGCTCTGCAGCGTCCTGCAGCTGGAGAGGCTTTGAAAGGACGTGCTGCCCAGGCACCTGCCTCTATCAGCCACGGCTTAGCTTTGTCAAGACACTGCTTCCCGGGCAGCAGCCAGACACCAGTGCTGTCTGCCAACTTCACGGATGGCAGCAATAACCTGGCTCCTAGGCATCCTGAACCAGGCTCTGAGGCCGTGTGGAGGCTCTGGCTTAGGGAGGACTGCCCTGGGGCATGGGATGCGGTCCCGAGTGCCCTCTGCTGCTGGGCTCTGAGAGGGCGGCCTCTGCCAGAGGGAGGATGCACTTCAGCCCGTCGCCACCTGCGCTCAGTGAGCTCCACTGTGGCTGCGGAAGCCCCAGGCTGGGCCTTCCCCCCCGCAGCGTCTCCCTCTACCTTCACCACGATGCCCGAGGGGACGTGCTTCAGCACCACGCAGTTGCTCGTTTTGTTGGTTGCTTGGCCCCCTGGACCGTGTCCTTTCACAAACTGCTCTTCGAGTTCATTCTCGTCCAGGGAAAGCAGAGGAGGGCAGTCCCTCTTGCCTGCCATCGGGACTAGAGTGACAGCCATTCCTGGGGATAACAACGTCAGCTTCTCCCAAAGCTGGAGGCCCCATGGCACTGTGCGTATCCTGGTCAGGGGTGCAGGGAAACGAAATAAACCTGGGGTGCTCATGAAGAAAGTGGCTCTGCTCGCTCCGGACCTGAATTAGACAGATAAAAAAGACAGCTTTTAGGTCCTTGCCTGCAAGAGTGGCCACTGCGTTGGTGCTCTGGGGCTTGGACCCTGGCTAGCCAGAAAAAAAAAAAAGACAGCTTTTCAGTAAGATGCATCTGCCCTCAGGATTATACTTTAGGTTCTAAGATAGCTTTTTATAAAACAATTTGAAGGATGACCCATCTGTTACCTTGGGTATTAAGGAAATGAGGAAAGACAGATGACTCAGCAAGACACCCCCTCCACCCTACTCTGCAGCCTCCCTTTGTCTGCTGTGTCCTTACCAGTCCGTGCCCTGCCGGCTAATAAATATTTTCTTACAACAGACCAAAAATATCTTCAAAGCACCCAGAGGTACTGTTTTCTCAAGAAGGAGAGGTTTTGAGTGTGACATTCAAAGGAACAGGGCTGTAATTTGAGAAATATTAATAAATAGTACATTAAGCAAGAATTGGGATCTGAATCAAGTGACAGTATTTAAATGTTCAAGAATCTTTGAAATCAAAATGTAAAGATGACAGTATGAGAGTCTATTTTATAGCTGAGCTTAAACAGTCTGACACAGTAAACATCACTATCAATCAATGTCACGATTGTTGTTTTTTAATGTTTCCAGTTTCATGGATTTGAATGGGAACATCTGTTCCCTCGGCCGCACTGCCAATAATGTGATCCAACTGGTACTCGTTGTTAGAACTACCAAATCAACTCATTTCTGTTAAGGTGCCTGTTAAGTTTAAAATACCATGTAAGGTATAGTGAGGGATATGAGATGAAAAAGAGCTAGACTTTGTCTTCATGGAGCTTACAGGCTAGTGAAGATACCAAAAAGAAAGTGGTATTTAACAATAACACTTTAGCTTCTCAATACACAGCACAAGGTTGAAATTATTTAGTTGACACGTGAATAGGACAGAAAATAATAGCTGTGAGGATATGGCAAATACCACAAGCCTTTGCTTTTTTCCAGGGGTGCAAGGCAGAAGGATCTGAAAGGTCTCCCATGTGAACAGGGGTGAGCTACCACCTGGGCCTGCTTTCTCAGCTGGAAAATGGGTGAGTTAGCCCTTCTTCACCCATCTCATAAAGGCTTAAAAAAGATCAAAGAGGCAGGGCACCGTGCCTCATGCCTGTAATCCCAGCACTTTGGGAGGCCAAGGTTGAGGGATAGCTTGAGACTGGCCTAGGCAACATAGCGATACCCCATCTCTCAAAAAACAGAGAAAAAAGTGCTTTGATTTTTTTTTTTTTGAGACAGAGTCTCACTCTGTTGCCTGGGCTATAGTGCCATGGTGTCAGCCTAGCTCACAGCAACCTCAAACTCCTGGACTCAAGTGATCCTCCTGCCTCAGCCTCCCGAGTAGCTGGGACTATAGGCATGTGCCACCATGCCTGACTAATTTTTTTCTATATATGTTTTTTAGTTTTCCAGCTAATTTATTTCTGTTTTTTTAGTAGAGATGGGGTCTCGCTCTTGTTCAGGCTGGTCTTGAACTCCTGAACTCAAATGATCCACCTGCCTCGGCCTCCCAGAGTACTAGGATTACAGGTGTGAGCCACTACACCTAGCCCAGAAAGGGCCTTGTTGATACCTTTTGAAGCTTGAGACTGATTTTTTTGTAAAATCTCTGTCACCCAGGTGGACTATGGGAATTACAAATGTACCACTTGCTTAGCACGTTTTTTTGTTTTTTTGTTGCCAGGGCTAGAGTGCCGTGATGTCAGCCTAGCTCACAGCAACCTCAAACTCCTGGGCTCAAGTGGTCCTCCTGCCTCAGCCCCCCAAGTAGTTGGTACTACAGGCATGGGCCACAACGTCTGGCTAGTTTATTCTATTTTTGGTCGCCTGGCTTATTTTTTCTATTTTTAATAGACACAGGGTCCCACTCTTGCTCAGGCTGGAATGCAGTGGCGTCATCACAGCTCACTGTAGCCTTGAAGTCCTGGACTCAAGCAATTCTCCTGCCTTGGCCTCCTAAGTAGCTAGGACTATAGGTGTGGCTACCACGCCAGGCTAATTTTTAAATTGTTTTTAGAGACAGGGTCTTGGTATATTGCTCAGGCTGGTCGTGAACCCCTGGCCACAAGCAATCCTCCTGCCTTGGCCTCCCAAAGCACTGAGAGACAGTGGTTATCTTTAGAATGATGACACAATATTATTCATCTCTATCTCTGCTATTCCTGTGAGAAGTAAATACAGTGAAACATAAAATAACATACTTTCCTTGTCAATGCTAATTTTCAATTCCATGACAGACATAATGGTCTAAACCCGTGTCTTCTCTTTATGACAATCAGTGTGTTCTGTCAGTGGGTAATAATTAAGATGGTATTGGCAAGGTGCTTCATGGCTATGAAGGGCTGTATCTTGAAATACAATGTGCCAATGAAAGTGATATTTTAAAAATTGGTTTTGTTGGCCGGGTGCGGTGGCTCACGCCTGTAATCCTAGCACTCTGGGAGGCCGCGGCGGGCGGATTGCTTGAGGTCAGGAGTTCAAAACCAGCCTGAGCAAGAGCGAGACCCCGTCTCTACTATAAATAGAAAGAAATAAGTTGGCCAGCATATATATATAAATGAGCCGGGCATGGTGGCGTATGCCTGTAGTCTCAGCTACTTGGGAGGCTGAGGCAGGAAGATTGCTTGAGCCCAGGAGTTTGAGGTTGCTGTGAGCTAGGCTGACGCCACGGCACTCACTCTAGCCTGGGCAACAAAGCAAGACTCTGTCTCAAAAAAAAAAAAAAAAAAAAAAAATACTGGTTTTGTTCAATGTGTATCAAATACTTTAGAGGTATCTTCAAGAAAAGATAAACAATAAACCCAAGCACTTTCTCTGAAATCTCTACAACAAAGAATCAACTCACCTATAAACGATTAAATGAATAGACTAAGTCAATGTCCAGAATGTCCCTTTCCTTATTTCTGCTTTCAATCCACAAAGCACAATTCCTTTGTGCATCAGAGCTCATAGTCCCAGGTTAGATTCATTATGGAACGTGAGTCCGAGCCTCTCTCGGGGTTTCTCTTCCGCTAGTTAGTGAATCTGACCAGGCAGGACAGCACTGGTGTATAGTACAGTGACAAAGAGAGGAAGCAAGTCTGAGACAAGGCGAAACTCCCAGACAAAGGACAGAGAGGAGAGTGCTTTTATCAGCTGCTTTGTCACCATCCCACTGTTTGAAATCTCTACCTTTCTGTCCTAGTTCAGAGCTGACAGACACACTGGAAGGTCTCCCACCCAACCGGAGTTCAGGCAGGTCCCCAGTGTTCAGTTACTGGCTGCTTTGTTAAACAGCTAATTCCAACAGCCAATCAGACGACTGTAGACACTTTTAGTATCTCATGTAGCTTTGGCCCGACTCCAATGACTGCTAAAAATGACAAACACACCCATGGTTCCACTTCCCCAAAGGCCAAAGAATACGGATTGGATTTCGGTTTTTGTGATACCCACAGAGCAACCCAAAGTCTTTGGAAAACAATAAAAGCAGCTCAAATTATAGCTCATCGTGACATTAAAAAAGAGAAAAAGAAAAATGGCACAGAGAAGTGCTAGTAACGGGAAACCGGCAGTCATGACAGCTTTGCCCTAGTTCCTTTCTGCAAGTGTGAGCTTCATTGAAGGCCGGCGACTTCCCCTTGGCCCTACTTTTCCTTTTGTGATGGCTTCTGCACTAAATAGCTGGTCACAGTTAAGGTTAAAGCTGCTGTTATTATGCCCCCAGATCACTCGGAACCTACATTCTGTTAGGTGGCCCCCTTCATTGCTGGATCCAGCCAGCTCACATGTCCTCTTCAAGTTCCACATTCAACCCGATCCAAGGCAGACATCTAGCCCCAGGGATGGCGTGTTCAACTCTGCAACAAGGCCTGTTCCTGGGGCAAACAATCACAGGCTGTAACTAGATGTATGGAGGCGACACTGTGTCACCAAGAGCTCTGTTTTAGAGAGAGGTAAGGAGGATAGTAATGGAATGCCTTTCCTTTCGTGCCTCTAAGAGGGATAAAGGATATTTGAATGTATTTTCAGGAAAGTGTACATAAGATTTCAATCTCTGGACATGCCTTCTTGATACCGTTTATTTAAAATTCACAGTTTAAGTATTCTTTTTAGAAAGGTATGAACAATAGTTTCTCTTAGCCACAACTTTCCTGGTATACCAACCTTGCAGAAATTCCATTAAAGCTAAGCAAAATAGGGTGCTTTAGGAAAGATGACTGTTAAACCTCTCATCAGTCAGTCTCATCACTGAAACTTTAATGTGTGTACAAATCACCGGCGAGTCTTGTTACGGTGACACTGCTTTGTTAATTTTTTGTAGAGTTGAGGTCTCACTATATTACTATATTTGAGGCTGACCTCAAACTCCTGGCCTCAAGCCATCCTCTTGCCTCAGCTTCCCAAAATGCTAGGATTACAGGTGTGAGCTCCTGTGCCTGGCTTGAAACTTTATAAAATTTATCAACTACACTGTTAAAACAGAAATATATATATATATATCAGTAATAGTAATACTATTGTCTAAGTAATACTATTGTCTAAGTAATACTATTTGTCTAAGATAGGGCTGGACACTCTGCATGTTTTTAAGAGATGGGGGTCCTGCTATGTTGCTCAGCCTGGATTCGCTCAAGTGGTTCCCCCAGCCTCAGTCTCCCGAATAGCTGGGAGCACAGGCCACCACCATGCCTTCCTGGAGACTGTGCATTTCTAATCAGCTCCCAAGTGAGGCTGCTGCTCCAGGGACCACGCTTTGAGTGGCATGGCCTACGGCTTTCAGCAACGGTTCTGCCCGTGTCCTGGAATTTAGGATTGTCCGGCTGCTTGACGAGAGCCCTAGGATCACGATGGCAATGATAGAGACTGAGAAGGTGTAACGGAGCATGACAGCATGGCAAGGAAATCATCTAGAGAAAAGAATTAAATGAATATTGATTTGACTGGGAGGCTGAGGCGGGCCGATTGCTCAAGGTCAGGAGTTTGAAACCAGCCTGAGCAAGGGCAAGACCCCATCTCTACTTAGATAGAAAGAAATTAATTGGCCAACTAATATATATAGAAAAATATTAGCCAGGCATGGTGGCCCATGCCTGTATCCCAGCTACTCGGGAGGCTGAGGCAGCAGGATTGCTTGAGCCCAGGAGTTTGAGGTTGCTGTGAGCTAGGCTGACGCCATGGCACTCACTCTAGCCTGGGCAACAAAGTGATACTGTGTCTCAAAAAAATAAAGAAAGAAATAAAAATATTGATTTGAGCTAGCAGAGCAGGTGACATAGGGATTGAGAAACTGGGTCATCTGAAGAAAAAAAGAACACCCAAAATGTCACCTTTTTTGTTAATATTCTAAAACAGTGTTGTCCAATAGAAATCTAATGCTAGCCATATGTGAAATTCTAAATTTTCTAGTAGTTACATTAAAAATAATAAAAAGCAGATGATTAATTTGAATATATTTAACCCAATATATCCAAATCATTATTTCAACATGTAACGAACATAAAGGAGATAATTTTTTTAATATGAAGTCTTCAAAATTTGGGGTGTATTCATACTTATAGCACATCTCAATTCAGACCAGCCACACTTCAAGTGCTCACCAGCTATTGTGCGGGGGGCTACGGTGTTGGATGACGTGGGTCTAGAATCTTGCTACTCAAAGTGTGGTCCACAGAGCAGCAGCAGCAGCAGCACCACTTGGAAGAACCTGCATTTTTACAAGACCCGCAGGTGGTTCAGAGACACAGCACAGTTTGACAAGCGTTGCACTCCAACACAGGAGTCAGCAAGTTCTGCTGGCTGCTAAGGCAGACACTTTGAAAAGCTGTTGTTTCTTATTTTTGTAACATTTAAGGAGTGGGGACCAGAATTCAGGAGTGCTGATTTCCTACTTACCATCATCTCTCTTTCTCAATAAGGAGATGGAACCATAAGTCTTAAAACAATGACCTAATACACGGTTAAGGACCAAACACAGCAAGCTTAAACAAACCAAGGAGTGATGTTGCTGCTTTGAAAATACAAAATGACCAGCTGATGGCACCAGAAGCTTAAGTGAGAGGACAGTGACTTTCTAGGAAATGCTTGAAAAGTAATTCATGTTTGAAAAGTGTGTTTTTGTGCTCCCTGCAAAATGCAAGTTAAAAAAAAGGAGCCTTTCTCCTTCACATCTAGCTCTTGCTGCAGTCCTAGATGCCTGAAGTCCTTGTTGTGAGGTGGAAACACCTCTCCAGATGGTATCGCTGAGTACTGCAGGTTAGCCTTGAAACAGACCATGTCTTTGCGGAGGCATGGGGTTTTACCAAGAGCCCTTCATCCACAGTAAGTGTTTACAGATAATTATTTCTCAAACAAAGAAAGCATAATGGATTGAGCAGGAAATGCAGAGATGCTATCTTTGATTTTGCGGGACAAGAGGAAAAGGAGACTATTCTGTCTGGTCTAAATTTAATAGACTTCATGCTGCTGAGTTCAAGAGACAACTAATGAAGTATTTAAAGAGAAAAGTATTCAATTCACACTCTTCCAGCTTCCACAGAGAATTACACCTGTCCTATTTATGTGCATCACATTTCTTCTATTTAAGGCATCTAACAGGTACTTTATAATTTTTTTTGGAGACAGGTTTTCATTCTGTTGCCCTGGCTGGAGTGTAGTGGTGTCATCACAGCTCACTGTGACCCCAAACTCCTGGATTTAAGTGTATAAAAAAAACCTCCTGGGTTCAAGTGATCCTCCTGTCTCAGCCTTCTGAGTAGCAGGGACTACAGGTGGGCACCACCACGCCTGGCTAATTTTTTGTAGAGTTGAGGTCTCACTATATTACTATATTTGAGGCTGGCCTCAAGCCATCCTCTTTCCTCAGCCTCCCAAAATGCTAGGATTACAGGTGTGAGCTCCTGTGCCTGGCTTGAAACTTTATAAAATTTATCAACTACACTGTTAAAACAGAAACATATATATAATATATATATAAAGCAGTAATAGTAATACTCTACATTTTCTAAAAGTGTCATAGCTTATATTACCATTAATGATGCCTTGTATTTGTTTAGGACTTAAACATTTCCAAAGCACTTTCAAAATGATTGTTTTTAACACATATAAAGGAAATAAGGGATGTACACCATGTGTGGATTATCTCAGGGAGACTTATTTTGGAAAATAATTAGGTTTTCAATTTTTGAAATTAAATTCATCCTTCCTATAACTTGTTTCATTACTAGATCTGTTATTTTCCCAGTTCCTTAGGCAATATTAGCTCATTTCCCTTAACTTTCTCTTTTTGACTCTCCCTCCATTTTTTTGTTCCAGAAAGGTCATACTGCAGAGGAATGTGAGCTTTGTAGTCAGTGTTCCCTGCTTTCTTTGTCTCAAATCCATGATTCACTTTCTCTGCAACTTTGGCCACTTCTCCTCATTTCTAAACCTAGGGTGAGAACAAAATCATGTATGTAGCCACAAACATAAGCACTAGTGCTCATTAAATGGTAGCACTTCAGGTCCCTAAATACAAGGCTGAAGAACCTCTGACTAACATACCACGTAAGGGTGGTCTTATGGCACAAACCCAATCCAGAAACGGATTATTTCAAGGGCTTTTAGAGCTCAGAGCGAAAGGCATCCACAGCAGTGACTTGCAAACTATTTTACGTGGTATGGTCCAATTTAAGAAGTACATGGAAACCACGACATTACTGGAAAACATGCTATTTGGTGGGGTCATAATTCTGGTCTATGAAATCAGGTGCCAAGGAGATTATTATGATGCCAAAAATACAGTCTGACATCCTAGCAGGCTTATGTTGAAAGATAAAAACCACCTTCATTGGAAGTAAGTCCTGGTTTGAACATGAATATCTTTAGGAATCATGTCATGTAGAAAAAAAATCATGAAAGATGGGAAAGATTAAAGTTTTATTGTTTATCATTTTTTGCTGAAGAGAAGTTCCCCCAAACAAACCATTTGGACATAAAAATCAATGATACAAAGTAACACCCTGGTTAAGACACTAAATTCCTCAAGCCATCACCAGCTACTGTTACTGAATAGCTTGATTGGATGTTAAAGATCTCCATTCAAAAAGCTGTCAATTTAAAGTCTTTAAGACAAATGAGAAACACTTGAGTAATTCTAGCTTATAATAAAATGGTAACATACCATTATAATGGCATAAAATAGTGGTGTAAGCTTGCTTACAAGTAGTGTAAAATCTCTAGTGGGGGGGGATTATTTAGATTAGGTGAACAGTTATTTTACTTAACACATTCTCTTGAATTTCTGAAGCCTTCTACTCTGTTTTCTATATTCAGAAATAATTTTTTTTTGGCTTTACAAACTACATTTTAATCTGCTGATAAAGCTTTGAAAAAGGCATTTCTTTTGCCTAGTGTTATTAGTCAAAGGCAGTTTCCACGTTTAATTTTAAAATGAAGACTCTACCAAAGAGCTAAATCTAACATAAGAAGTGTATGGTGGAGATAACCTTACCAAAATATGTCACTGCATGAGTCAGTTTACAAGATAATGCAGATAATCAGAATACTAGTTCCTAAGCATGTTGGCTTATTAAGACATTAATGGATTTAAAAAATTACCTAAAATCACATTGCCAAACCCCAAAAACATACACACCCAAACTGAACACAGCCCATTGGATTTTGTAGCCAAAAGCAATGATCTCCTGCCTCTTACATGGTTGATACCTAATCATCAGCACTCACTTTTGGGATTAATATTTTTCTTGTGGGTTAACATTGTTCTTGTAGGGAAACACACTTCTCTGCCTAGAGCTGTCTCTGCCTAGAGCTGTCTCAGGAATTCACGCTTCTCAATTCTGTGGGTGCAAGATTCCACAGTGACTCAAACAATAGATTGTGTGACCAACTGAAATTAGTGCTAAAAACGGTTGCTTTCCTTTGGTGGGTTTGAAAATATGGTCACTGAAAACAGAGCCCTGTGCTTAACGACATTTTTGTTTTGGTTAACTGTTACATGAGCATAATATTGACTGGTGGATATTAGGGGGTGTGTGACAAATTTATTTAAGCTTGAGATCTTACATACACTGATGGGGTTTTGGACAGAGATTTAATTTTTACTGTTGAAAAGGAACTGGTAAGTATTCTTAGGAGGCTCAGATGAGATGGAATGCCTCTTGGCAGACCTGTCATTCCAGGGGCAAATGAAATACACCTCCCGCTCCTGGCTTCTCGGTGCCACTACTTCTGGCACGCCTAAGTGATAGTGCTTGCGAAGTCCCTTTACTACGGGGCCAGGACACATGGAGGGAACCTGAGGGCTGGAGGAGCCTTAAAGGCTAACTAGGCTGAAGAATGGAGGCTGAACAGCGCGCATGGGAAAGGCTGGGGGCCCGCGGGGAGGAGGGCGGGTTCCCTGTGGCCCTTCAAACGCCTAGCAAGGGCAGTGCTGACACCTACTACGTGCCAGGCCTGAAACAGGCTCTGATGCGTGGTCAGAGCTCCATCCCACTCTGCCGAGCAAGTAAATGAGGGTCCTTGTATCTCTCCTTGGGCCTCCGTGGAACTGTTTTCTCCAGGGCGGTCTCTCCTCCTCTCTCCCACCCCGGAGTGGTGGGAAAGCCTCAGGCCCGACCTCCTGCAACCTAGGGTACATCAAGGCCCAGAGGAAACCGAGCTCAGGTGTCAGGGCCGGCTCCAGCTCACCGCCAGCGGGGCCTCAACTAAGCTGGTTGGGCGACTTGGGGTAGCAAGCCGGGAAAAGCTCACGCGCCCTGGCTCCTCGTCCTTTATCCAAGGCCCCTGAGAGTCGTGGGCAGCCATAAGCGTACCTGGCTTCCCCGCAGACGCTTACCTGATCTCAGGACCGGCCTCCCGCCCCCAATGTTCTGGGAGACCCTGGACGACCGCAGAAGAGAGTTCGCAGCGCGTTCCCGGTTGTGCGCACGCGCCGTACTCGTGTCCCTGGTTCCCTCACCGGCCTGAGGCTCATTCTTGCCAACTGCGCATGCGCAAAGCTGAAGCGTCTTTCCCGCGTGTTAGCGGCAGGTTCCCAGAGAGCCAATCAGAGGGGGCAACTTGACCGCCGTCCCATCCCTCCGGTCACTCCCCCGGTGTTGGACCTTCCTCTTTGGCTGGAGAGGCGCAGAAGGGGAGGACGCGCCCTCCGCGCTCGGCTGTCTCCGCCCCCTTCCCAGCAGCCAATCGCTGGCGAGACGCTGGGCGCGCGCACGCTCTCTCGAGTTTAACGGTCGCGCGAGGCCGCTTGCTGTACCGTGACATCGGCAGCTGGAGCGGCGGCCAGGTAAGCGGCCACCGGTCTGCGGGGAGCTGCCGGCTGCGGGGTACAGGGGATGAGACTTAGGAGACACTGTCTTAACGGACCTTTGAGTGTACTGAGGGGGCCAGAGTGAGGGGAGACCACTGCCAGGTGACGCGACCCTACCGGAGCCCTCCGGTGTGTGAGGGGTCTGCGGGGCTGCCGAGCGGGGCTGCCGAGCGCCTTTTCTAGGCTCTGTGTCTGAGTGACTGTGTCTGAGTGACACCCGCGCGGCCCAATCGCAGAGCGCCCTCCTCAAGGGGCGGGGGGGCCTTGTGGGTTTTTTTTTTTTCCTTTGGACTAGGTGCCTCGGCTTCCTTTTGGAGTCACGGTTGTCCTTGCTGGAGCGGTGGCTTCCTCTGCGTCCTCTCCGCTCTCCGTGGTTTAGGCGACTGCGTGGGTTCTCCCTCGCCTTCCCAGTTGGACCCGATAAGCCGCCACCAGCCGCTGAGGTCGGGCTGTGAGCTCGAGAATGGCAAGACCTGGCCTCAGCTCCTCTGAAGCCACCCTTCTCTCCCCGCGCTCGCCTTCTTTTCCCTTTAATGTTCCCCCACCCCGTACCCTACCCCCACTGGAGAAGCATCCTTGAATTTCTAGTGGTTTTCCATCCGGATCTACTGCATCCGGATTGCCTCAGCGGGGGAAATAACAGATGGGGTTGCAGATCGCCCTCCCTGGAGAGCTTGTGTTTTCCCGGTATAGGGCAAGGTGATTGGAATCCAGGTATTTCTGTCGCCAGTTGGAAAGGGCAGCCCCTGACTTTCTCAGTGCCCCGTTTGTCGTTGGCGATGCGCTGAGCCCCTGGGGAGAAATTCGCTTAGTTGGGTCCAGTTACCCTTCGCTTTCACACCTGTCCCTCAAGGAAATGGTTCCTTGATGAGCTGATGTGGGTTGGTTTTTTTTTTTTTTTTTTTTTTTTATGTAGTGGTTTTATAAAACCAGGCCCTAGAAAAGTGGGAATCTAGAGGAACCGAAATAATAGATAATTTTCCTCTATTGCACTCTTCTAAACTTTTCATTTTGTAAGCAGCAGAGGTTTTTTTTTTTCCTTCCTTTTCTCTTGCTCTCGCCTTTTTAAATGTGTGAATTCCCAATATGAAGGAGGCGTATTGTTTGATTTGTTATAGCCAATTTGCCACTGTATACCCAGCTTCAGTGAAATTTTAGTTAGCCTGGCAAATAGTTTATTTTTAAGGGGTAATAAGTGCACAGAAACAAAAGATCATATAGTGCAAACTATTGGTTCAGCCAGTGAGGAGGCAACTGTGTTTAATTGGCTCTTTTTAATGCAAATTAATATGCAGTAGTTCAGTTCTTCTATTCACTAAGTAAACCAACATGTATTTATTAAACAAATGAACAAGGCCTGTAAGTATTCCAATTGTTACATATTAGAATTGTGTCTAGAACTTTGATAATTAAACATGTAAAATTCTGAAATATGACATAAAAAATATGATGCTACTTTTGCAAATCACTTTTAATGTAGATCTTTTGGCACTATATAGTTCACATACCATAAAATTCACCCTTTTAAAAGTGTACAATTGAATGGTTTTTAATATATTCACAAGGTTGTACAACCCTCACCACTATCTAATTCCAGAACTTTTTCATCACCCCAAAAAGAGACCCCGTACCAACTGCAGTCACTCCCATTCTCTCCTTTCCCCAGCTCTTGGCAACCATTAATCTACTTTGTCTCTATGGATTTGCCTATTCAAGATATTTTATAGAACTGAAATCATACAGTATGTGGTCGTTTGTGTCGTTCTTTTATTTATATAATGTTTTCAATGTTCATCTACATTGTAGCATGTTTCATTCCTTTTTGTTGCTACATAATGTTCCATTATATGGATAATCCACATTTGTTTATCCATTCATCCATTAATGGATATTTGATAACATTTTGGCTATTATGAATTATGTTGCTATCCTTGATGTAAATTTGTATGAAAGAAGTCAAGATTCCCAAAGCCATGAAAAGACATTTGCTAGGTTTAGTGACTTTTTATAGTAGTATTTTTTTTCCTCATTCATTTTCAGACTCTCTTGGAAGTTTAGGATATTTCGTGGTTCTGAATGTTAGCAACTGAAAATGCCGGTAGACGATGAAGCATCTGAAGATGACACGGATTCAGTTTCCTCAAACAGTCAAAGAATCTTTATTTTCCAATAAGAGAGTATAACAATTTCTGTGCATTATGGGAGATTTTGACTTGGTGGAAACCTTACAGAAAACTTCATCTTCTGTAGAATCTGATATCAAAAATTTTCCCCATTCTTTTGGACCGAACTTAAATACCAATAGGTAAGAAGGGTTAGATATTCTTTAATGTCACAGCAAATCAAAATAGCTTTATTTGCATAGTTTACCAACTTATCCAAATAGTGTTATAGTTACTGACTTATATTTGTTTTTTTAAAAACAATTATGATTGGGAACTATTCAGGGACAGTTATTTAAGTTAAGAATAGTTTCAGTCCTTTTGTGTTTTTCATTACTCCAAGAAATGTGCTTTTACATGAGGAACATTGTAAAAAGAATGTGTTTTGCTAGTTGCAGTTTCCTTTACACTTCTTTTGTTTTTGTTTTTGTTTTTTTTGAGACAGAGTCTTGCTTTATTGCTCAGGCTAGAGTGAGGGCCAGGGCATCAGCCTAACTCACAGCAACCCCAAACTCCTGGGCTCAAGCAACCCTGCTGCCTCAGCCTCCCGAGTAGCTGGGACTACAGGCATGCGCCACCATGCCCAGCTAATTTTTTCTATATATATTAGTTGGCCAATTAATTTCTTTCAATTTTTTTTATAGTAGAGACAGGGTCTCGCTCAGGCTGGTTTTGAACTCCTGACCTTGAGCAATCCTCCTGCCTCGGCCTCCCAGAGTGCTAGGATTGTGCACTGCTAGTGCAGTGGCGTGAGCCACTGCTTCTGGCCACTTCTTTTGTTTTTGGTAAATTACAAGCATATCTTTAAGGTTTAATTGCTTAAGTATTATTTATGTATTTTTAAATTAATGGTACAAATAATGTTTTATATTACAGAAATACTTCACCAATCTGGAAAGTATTAATAGCAATTAAAGTTGAATGTTATAGGAAGTAAGCAAAAAACAGAGTCTGAGTAGACAAAATAGATGTTATCAAACAATGTGCTTCATGCATTTTATTTTTAAACTATTCCATGGTTGGTTGTTTTTAAATTTTTTTATGGTTCCCAGCACAGATATCATGGTTGGTTTGTTTTTAATCAGAGCCTGTTTACTTTCAATTTGCACATAGTCTGCCAAGCTTGATTATTTGGTTTCTAAATTTATAGTAGCTTAGAAATAGCAAAGAGGCAGGGACCATCAGAGAGGAGATCACCTATAAAGAGAAGGTACAAGAAGGGGAAAACACAGCAGTCTGAGACTTCCTGGTAAAGAGGCAAATAACTTTGTTATCATTATTATTTTATTTTATTTTTTAGAGATGAGGTCTCTGCCGTCCAGGTTGGAGTGCGGTGGCACAGCCATAGCTCACTGCCGCTTCCAACTCCTGGCTCAAGGGATCTTCCCACCTCAGCTTCCTGCATGGCTGGGGCTACAGGTGCACCACACCCAGCTTAATTGTGTATAATAAATAAATTGCTTTTTAAAATTGTTCATTCTCTGCCCTTTTCAGGAGGAAGTTAAGACAGCTTAGAAGAATATGTAAAATAAAATGAGAAAGCATAAATTAAAGTAGGGTGAGAGGAAATTTTAAAAAACATGGAAAATGGTCCAAAATAGATGTCTGCTACAGTAATATATATGTACTTGCTAAAAATTGGCCGCACATTTTGTTTCTTGAATCACTTTGTGGCCCCTTTAAAGTCCAGTTCTAGAAGAAATTCCCTTTAGAACATACTGTTTGATTTTTTTTCTGGAGGAACCTAAATATGCCTTGATAATGAAAGTTATATAATTGAACTTGTCTCCCTTTCATCATGATTGACAGTTAAATTGGCCACATTTAAACTCAATTATTGCTACTATGTAAACTCCTATCCACAACATGTTATGTTGTTCTTTCCTTTGAATTTTTATTAATATTTTATCTGCTCCTAACTTTATAATTTTACTATTTTCATTAGTGTTCTCTTTTTAAAAAATTATTTGTGAAACAAAGCAGAGTATCCCGCAATAAAGAAATGAAAATGACCTTTCGGTGGCTGGATTTTAAACAAATTTTAATGTCCTGAATTATACTTTGTTTATAAAACACATCTGAAGTAAACTCATCTCAACTTTAGAAGAGCAGTCCTCCTGGAAGGACGCAGTGCTATTTTACACACAAGTAGGCTAAACAGGTCGTGATTGTTTGTTGCTAATTTGCTTGGTGCACCTTTTATTCAGCGATAGCACAGAGATAAGCATCAGCTTATCACACCAAATTAAGGGGATCCAATTAATGGAATTTGACTGTAATTCTAGGCAGTAGAGAAAGAATCCCAACTACACAATGAAGGGCTATTCTTAAAGTGGGGTGAGATAATCCTCTGGAATAATTTAGATCAGAGAAGCTGGACATTTTCCTTACTGCTTAGCACAAACTTTATTTTCTGCTGATACTTTGCAGTGTTCTCTCACTTCTAGAGGTCTTTCTCTTGTGTTCTTAAAAAACAGTGCTGTCTTTTCACTGTTATTTCCCTTTTGTGGACAAACTTATCAACAAATGAGGTGCCATTAGAAGGATTAAATATCAGTGGTTTTGTACTGCTCTGCTAAATCTTGAACTGCTGAATTATTCAACACTTTGGTAGAATGAAGAAAACCATTTGAATTATTTATGTTTCAACAGAAGTAGTCCCCACCTTAGTACAAACGGGGTATCCTCTTTCTCAGGGAAGACCAGACCATCTGTCATTCAAGGGACAGTTGAAGTCCTGACTTCTTTAATGCAAGAGCTACAAAACAGTGGAAAGACTGACTCGGAACTTTGGAAAAACTGTGAGGTATCTTGTTTTGTTTTTGGAATTTTAATTATATTTAAACATACCTTTACTAAACTCTGAATTATTACAAACTTATGTCCTGAAGAGCATGACAATTAAGTTATTGCTAACATGTCAAGTATATTAATTGGGGAACAAGATTGAACAAATGTGGAAAAGGTAATCAAAAGTATTTTTTTTTAGATACATGTGATTAGACATACTAATTTGTATATTAAATGTGAACTAAAATGTCTTTTCAGAGAACTGAGAATCTGAAAATTATTAAAATGTTAGTAATCATAATATTTTAAGTAACTTATATGGAATTGTTACCATTTTGGAAAAACCCAAATTCACTTTGAAATATTTTGAATGTTCTAATTATAAATTAAGGCTTCTATTTAGTAACATATTACCTTCAGCTATGATATATTGCATTCTGTTGCTTTCAGATCAGTGGTTCTTTGTTTGGGTTAAATTGTGATGTAAAATTTTAACAATTAAAAGAATGCTTATGTAAATTTTATTTCATAGAATAATGCTGAAGGTAGACTTTCCCAGCACTAGATTTGGTAATGCTTTATAGAAATGTGTAAAACATTATTAAACTCTTTACTTAGTACTAATTAATTATGCTTTTAGAACCATAATTTGTGTCGTTTTCAATATATAGAGTAAGTGGAATGAAACATTACCTGGTTTAAGAATTCAGTAGCAGCCACTGCTTAGTGTAATTACTTATATGTATTATCCATGATTATTGAAGTTATAAAAATGACTGTTAGAATATACTTTAAAAATTGAGTTTATATACTTTTAGTATTTTTTTCCATAAAACAATCAGTATGTGCTAATTCCAAAGACCTATAAAATGGCATTGTAAATGATGAGATTAAAAATGGAATGTTAGCCTGATGAGGTGGCTCACACCTATAATCCTAGCATTTGGGGAAGTTGAGGCAGGAGAATGGCAGAGGTCAGGAATTTGAGACCAGCATGAGCAAGAATGAGACCCCATCTCTACAAAAATTAGAAAACTTAGCTGGGTGTGGTGGCAAGCACCTGTAGTCGCAGCTACCCGGAAGGCTGAGGCAGGTGGGTCACTTGAGCTCAGGAGTTCGAGGCTGCAGTGAGCTATGATGATGCCACTGCACTCTACCAAGGTGACAGAGCGAGACTTTGTCTCAAAATATAAATAAATATATACATATATACACATATGTATATATATATATATTTAACTTGTACATAATATGGCATATACTTCTGGCCATTTCAGTAAAATTTCTTGAATTTATATATTTTTATGGGATTGACTGATTGAGACAGAGTCTTGCTCTGTCACCCAAGCTAGAGCTCAGTGGCAGCATCATAGTTGATGTTGCAGTCTCAAACTCCTGGGCTTAAGTGAACCTCCTGAGTAGCTAGGACATTCATAGATAATATAACCTACCTGTACCCACTTTAAAAAATCAATATACTACTGTAAATGTGGTATAAAGAAGGACTAAAAGTTAAAATATATAAATGCTCTATCACTTCTTCATTGGAAGACACAATGAAGTAGTCTGATGTTGACCTGTACATAGATTCTGTGTGAGTACAGCAGCTGCAAACACAGATCGATACAGTGTGATGTGTTGATGATCCAGGTAGTGTGAGCAGCATGTCCCCTGGTGACATGCTTTACTGAAAGGGTGACCAATTTCTGATGAAATTCCAAAACTTGTTTGTTTTTGGTAATTTGAGAGCTGTGCAAGATATTTATTTTATAATATAAAGTAGACACAGGATAGCTGTTCCTTGTGGGGGACTGTCCTATGATTTGCATACTTGGACCCTTCCCACTACATGCCAATGATGCCCCCTGCTTTTGTGAAGACCATGACCTCACAGATTTCTAAAATGCAGTTCCCTCTCCATTGAGATCACTGCTTCACATGTACCATCTTTAAATTTAAAATTAAATCCTCTTGGGGACCTATGAGATATTATTTCCATTTTATAAATTTGGAAACTAAGGCACAAATAAATTAATTAGTCCAGGACCACACAGATTAGTGGAGAGCTGTGAGTTAGAGTGGGAGGGGTGGAGACAGACAGGTAACAGTGAACAAATGAGATACTTACTGATTGTGGTAAACACTGTGAAGGAAGTAGACAGGGTGATGGGAAAGAGAGGAACTGTTAGGGTGGTTGGAGAGGTGACAGGCTGAAATTGTCAGATGGGAAGACACTAGTCACGTCAGGTGCGGGAAAAGCTTTCCAGGTGGAGGGCAGGGCAAGTACCCTCTCCCCCTTGTGAGGTGGAGACAGTTCTGGCATGCTCAAGGAACAGAGAGAGGCCCACGGGGCAGACGGATTGCAAGCAAGGGACAGAGGGGGCGGGGTGAAGTTGGAGGTGTGTAGGAGCCAAATAGTGCAGAGTCCTGTAAAGAAGGATTAGGAGTGGAAAGACATTGAAAGGTTTTAAACAGGGAAGCTAGTTTTCATGGTAGCTACTTAATGATATTGGGTATTATTGCATACAGTCTGTTACTGAAAGGATACCAGCCTTGAGATGAATTTATCCTTCTGGAGAGCTTCAGGCCCCCTCTCTTGCCATGTTTTGGCATAGTTTAGTTAGGACAGTACTCTTTTTTTTTTTTTTTTTTTTTGAGACAGAGTCTTGCTTTGTTGCCCAGGCAACAAAGAGTGAGTGCCGTCATGTCAGCCTAACTCACAGCAACCTCAAACTCCTGGGTTCAAGCAATTCTCCTGCCTCAGCCTCCCCAGTAGATGGGACTACAAGCATGTGCCACCATGCCCGGCTAATTTTTTCTATATATATTAGTTGGCCACTTAATTTCTTTCTATTTATAGTAGAGATGGGGTCTCACTCTTGCTCAGGCTGGTTTAGAACTCCTGACCTCAAGTAATCCACCAGCCTTGGCCTCCCAGAGTGCTAGGATTACAGGCGTGAGCCACTGAGCCCGGCCGACAGTGCTCTTTGAGTCAGGGTGGACCGTGACCTAAAACGGGGCTGTGAAGGGAGTTACAGGCCAGTTCCATTGGTTTTCTTTCTTTTTTTTTTTTCTTTGATTTTTTTTTTTTAGTGTATTATGGGGGTACAAGTGTTAAGGTTACTTATATTGCCCAAGTCCCTCTCCCCCCTCGAGTAAGAGCTTCAAGCATGTCCATCCCCCAAATGTTGCACATCTTACTCATGGTGGTTTTATATACTCCTCCCCTCCTCCCCCCCAACACCCAATAAGTGTTATTCCATTGGTTTTCTAAGTCACTTTTTCATTCCTTTTTTTCCCAGCTCTGCATTGCTTTGAAACACTTTAATATCTGATGTTAAAAGGTCTTATATTTGACAAATAAATTAGGGGTTAAATTCTTATAATACCAAACCATTTCTTATTTTAGGATGTAGGATACTTTTTCTGGGTACATGTTAGTGTTCAAGAAATCATTAGCTGTTTTGAGGAAAGGAATGAGGAACTTAAGACAAATATAAAGTGTAACTACCAGTTCTTGATTAATCAGATATGATAGCAGATGACATCAAATTAAGATTCCATTTGAAAATAAGGTGTACCCAGATCACAGGTTACATAAGAGAGAGGTACCTAAGCCTATGTCCTTGGATAATTTGCATTTATATATTTTTATGACTATTTGTTTAATCTGGCTTATAAATTTTACATTTAAAAATATGAAGGGGCCCTTTTCACTGGAGGAGTTTTCTATGAAATAGTAATTAAAATTATTTTTAACTAAGATATTTTATAATTTAATAGACCAGGTGGTTACAACTATTCAATTTGGTCGAAAAACAATGCCAAGAACAGATAGTTGCCCAGCAGGAACAGTTCCACAACAAATTCAAGTAAGTTGTCATTTACTTTGATTTTTTTTATATTTATAAGTTGCAGAAAACCAATTAATACATTATATCAATTTTGTTTAGAAACTAAAGATAAAGCATAATATCTATCAGAGTAATTGATATTTTGAAACATTTTCATAACATTTATGAAAATGTAATTTAATAATATACTTTCTTATCCAAATCTATAACTTTTTATTTCCAGCGTATACAAGAGGAGATAAAAATTTAGTCAAATTACAGACGAGTGATATTCTTGGCTCCTATGATAGAAGTTCTTCATGCAAACAAGTATCATCAGAAAGTCAAATGGGTTTTTTTCTGAAAACAGTGAGAGAAATGAATCTGTTATCAGTTACCCTAAATCTAAAGAAACTGAAATGCATCAAGAAACGTCCTCATCACAACCAGACTGTAACATGGACAGTAGCTCAGTGAGCAGTGGGTATGGTACTTTTTGTGTCTCAGAGTTAAATACATACAAACTTAAAGACCCTAAAGAGTTCATGGAGCACACAGACGTTTCTAAAGACAGTACGTAGCACCTGTGGTTCAGTCTGATTCGCTGGTAGACAGTGTGAAAACAAGGTTTTATATAAGACTACTGAAGAGTGTTGGTGCATCTTTAAGGAAATATTTCCATTTTTCCTGGTGAATTTGAACATAATTTTCTTGGTGAAATAATTTCTGAAGTATACAGTGGAAAACAATAGGTAAGTAGAATTTCTCCATTGAAGGAGTTTATTTGTTTATTACCTGTTTTTTTGTTTTGTTTTTGAGACAGTTTTTCTGCTCTGTTGTCTGGGTTAGAGTGCAGTGGTGCTATCGTAGCTCACTGCAGCTCAAATGCCTGGGTTTCTAAAGTGCTAGGATTACAGGTGTGAGCTACTGTGCCTGGCCTGTTTATGACATTTATAATTAGTAATAGGTTCTTTATTCTTATGATATGATGAGAGTATTGAACATTTATCAGTTTTACTGTCAAATCTAAGTCTTGGCCAGGCACAGTAGCAATGTGGTAACCCTCCTTCATCTTTCTACAAGAAAAAGAAAAAAAAATCAAAGTCTTTTGTGGGACATAGTGCATGCTCTTGTAGTCCCAGCTACTCGGAGCCTGGGCAGGAGGATTACTGACGCCCAGGAG